GTTTAATATTTATTTCGTATGACTAATGATTTACATTGTTGAGTGCACACTGCTATCATATGAAGCAATGTGCCTGAACCTTAGACTATTATCCAACAGTTGACGGTAAATATAACAACGAAATTCGAAGGCGCGTTGGAATAGTAAAATATATCTTTTAAAAACTAATAAAGTATTAACTCCAAAAGAAAAGATTCGACCTCACTTACAAATGCATACGCGAAAACAAATTCCTATTACGCTAGCTACTGCCACATTACGAATTCCCAAACTAAACAGTTTAAAAATAATGGGTTTTCTTTAAAAGTAAATATCAATCTTTTACACCAGACAAAAGTATATTTACACTATTTACATTCGGACTATTGTCCTCATCTTTGTTTTTAACACAACGTTTCGGCCTTCGTCAGGCATATATTGATCTGGGTAACCTACAGGAAATTACAAATTGGAAACCTTTATTTGATCTCAGGGGATAGAATGATTTCATATCAGTGTTCATGTCTAGGGATATCTAGTTCTTATTTTTAGTACTTCTGTTAATTCTTGATCGTTTCTGCCCGACCCAGGGATTGAACCCACCAATTCGAAGAAAGTATGCTATATATAATTAAATACACGTATGAATAAAGATAAAATGAAGTAAAACAAAATAAAATAAAATAAATATGAATAAATAAAATAGAATAAACATATTCAAAATCAAGGCTATAAACTAGCAATAGGTCTAAAAAGAAAACAATTGAAAAAAACAAAAAACAATTGACTAACTTCCGTAATTCCACAAAATCTTCAGTGACTCTACATAAAGTATATTACCACATGGCCTGATAATCACTAGAAGCCATTAACTGAAATTCACCATGCAATGTTGATTTCTATGATCACACACACATACATACACACACATATATATGGGGATTAATTTTTTTTTAAGTAATTTTTAAATGGCTCAGTATTTAGAATACAATAGATAATAAATATCTTATTTTTTAAATTGAAAAATTTACTTACTGTAAATTAATATATCCATGTGCGCGTGTGGTAGCATGGACAAACATGTGCCTGTTACGTCTGCGTTTTAAAAGTATACTCTTATAGAGAACTTGCATTTCTGAACGGAGTGATGGCCACGCGAGCGAACGTTGGCATGCAAGCGTCACTAATAGTCAAAAGAACATATATATATATATATATATATATATATATATATATATATATATATATATATATATATATATAACCAAACGAAAAAGTGGACATGAACCACGAAATTGCGGGAATAATAATAATTCAAATACGGATATGTTAATTTACAGTAAGAAAAATTTTCAATTTTACATATATATATATATATATATATATATATATATATATATATATATATATACATTGTCTTGCATAAGAAGTGAAAGGAAGAAGAGAATGAAATCTGTCAAAACATACAAGGTTCTGAAAAATCTTACCCGCAAAATTAAACTAAGTGTCAAATGACAGTTTTTTTTCCCATAAAACCGCTATTATTTTTAACTACATTCACTACTCAGCAATGTTTATTGTTTTAAAAAGTGTTGTTAGAATTGCAATAAAACCTAAATATATGATGGAAGCGAATTCATACATTTGTTTTTAATCTTGAAAATTTATAAAAAAAATATTAAACACTTTATTTATTGGATTGTTTATTTACAAAAATAATTTTATATTTACAACATTCGAAAAACTCTAATAATTCGTCAGACCTACAAATTCGAAAAGCTTTTTGATTTTGTAGGTCAGATGAGTCGGACCGTGATTACGATTCCAATGGAATAAATTATAACCATGGAATGTTAGTGTTTGAGCTTTTTCATATATATATATATATATATATATATATATATATATATATATTATATTATATATATTTTCTTATTTTAATTAAGCATAAAAGCAATTTGAATATTATTGATGAGAAATTGTGGATTATTTGTATGATTACAGCTGCTAGACTCAGGAATTAATATAACTTGATAAGTTTACGTGTTCATGATTTTTTCTAAATATTTGCTCAAATTTGAGCGATTTAAATAAAGAACCAATTCTTTATAGCTTGACTGAGAGAATTCACCCCAGTTCTTTAGAAAAATTGCAATTACCAAAACATCTGCCATAGTCTAGACATGGGCTTCATGATGATTACAAGCCTGATCAGAGAAAGGACGCATTGTTCTGTTTTGAAATCATATTTCGTTTGCGCATTTATAGCTGGTACCAATCCAGTATAGGAATTAAAACAGTAGTAAAGGCGGTATAAAGCAATATTGTTGATTTCGAATAATCAACAATATTGCAGCACTTTTTCAAAGGAAACAGGGATTACGATCACCGAAGTTAAGCAACTTCGTGTCTGGTCAGTACCTAGATGGGTGATTGTTTGTGAATACCAGGTTCTGTAAGCTTGAATATAGAGGCGGTGTAATGCATAACCGTTCGAATTTTGGAAATCGTAGAGCAAAGTTCCAATTCCGGTCGAGTTCGTTATCTTTACTTGCGTACAGATACCCTTGGGAAAGGTATGAATCCACCTCTTCTCCCCCATCTACGGGATAATTAGTAAGACTTGTATCAGTACTATCTAAAAATATTTTCTGGCTTTAAATAACCTGCCAATGTGTATGCGCGTTTAACAAACATCGCCACCTCAATACTTAAGATGGAAGAGTATCCCCCAATAGGGAATAAAACATGAGTTTCGACAATTAATAAATCGATATTATCGAAAAAGAATAAATCTTTAAAAAATTCCAATGTATTGTGACAATTCTCTAGAAATAGAAAATTTAGATTATGAGTATATGGTTTAAAGAATTTACGGAAATATTATTTCTAAAATGCACATTTGCATTTTTATTCTTTTGTTATTGAGTTGATAGTTATAACCATATATGTATTTAGCTGCTGAGCAGGAATATTGCAGTTCTAATCGGTCGCAACGCCACTGGGAGAACCCTGTCTCGGAGATGAAGTTAAGTGGCAGTACTGACTCAAATATCAACATTATTTACATTATTCGGGCTATTGACCTCATCTTTGTCGCCATATTTATTACAACGCTCCGGCCTTCTTCAGGTGGTTGGAATGTCAAACTGAACCCTTTTTTTCGCTCACTGGGGTAGACTGTCCTAGTTCTACGTGCCATGTTTTTAATGGATGTCAGTTATCAGTTATCTCCTGCTAATTTCCCTCTGAAAGTTCTCCACTGCAATGACTTTAACAATGTTTTATAGTAATTCTGTATAAACCTTCGAAATTAATTGCTGAATGTTTGTCTTGCATAAAAAGTGAATGAATGAAGAGAATCAAGTCAGTCAAAATATACTACGTACGGCAAACTTGGACCTTCGTGCCTGCCAAGAAAAGGTGTGTCAAAAGGACGGTTTTTCATTGGCTCTCTATTATTTTAACTACCCTCACTACTCAGCAATGCTTATCTCTTTAAAAAGCAATGATTAGAACTGTAATAAATATGAAACAAATGATGAAAGTGAACTTATACATTTTCTTTATTTTTTGAGAATTTACAACAAAAATATTAAACAATATTTATTATATTCTTTATTTACAAGAATACTTTTATATTTACAACATTCCAAAAATTAAAACTAATACAATGCAATATTTATCATTTACCAATTTATAGACAAATAAATCTGAAAAAAAAAACATTTTAATCATAAATTTAAAAAAAAGAAACTTTATTAAAATGATTAAAATATGTGAACCAGCTATAATGAAATCCTTATTATTTACTATTTTATAAAGCTTAAATCAATTGATACTTAGTCAATGTTTTGCCAATATTTACAGTAAACAATTTAATAAATAAATAGTTTAATATCTTTGTTGTAAATTCTCAAGAACAAAGAAAATGTACAAATTCACATCCATATGCTTAGGTTTTATTACGATTCTAATCACTCCTTTTTAAAATAATAAACATTGCCGAGGAGTAAAGGTAGTTAAAATAATAGCGGTGTCAAGGGAAAGTTTGTTTTAGTGTCAAAGTCTGTCTGTCTGAGGTTCACCTTTAGAACATTTAAAAACAGGTGAGTTGAACAAAGTTTGGACTTCTTTTTGTGTTCCAAAACCTAACTATAAAAAATTTTCAGTGCTAGTTTATAACTGTAAAAATTTTCTAATTAATTTTTCAAAAGGTAAACAATTTTCTTCACTTTCAAATATATAAGTAATAAGATTTAACAGAGAAATGTTTTTATCTTATATTCTAGCAAACTAAAATTTTTTCAAGTCTTTTCTCCGACTTGCCTCCTGCCAATAATGATAATTTAAGTTATTTTTCCATGAAAGCTAAATAAAGATAGATACCAGATTGTAAAAGTACTTATATATATTGAGACAAAATTATAGCGCGCTTTATATTTGCACGTATGAAAGAAAAGCTTATTGATGTATACAGGTGTGTGCGTGAATACGCGTGTGCTTGTGTATGTGTATTCGTATCTTGCTTTGTTTCCTATATAATGAATGCCTCAATGTAGAGCATCATATATCCGTATGTTATTTATATACATATAGCTTTAAAATACGTTCTTATGTGTATTATCACATACCGTTCAAGTATACAACCAAATATAGCAAAGCGCATGCATAAGTGAAAGAATAAATAGACGGTGTGTATAAGTGTAGTTTCCTAAGTGCAAAGTTATATGGCAACATACATATTTACACGCGCACGCACACACACATATATACATACATATATATATATATATATATATATATATATATATATATATATATATATATATATATATTATGAAAGAGTGCTAGTAATGTTGATTTTGATGTATGATGGGGTGGTGCCTGAGAGGGGGGGTTGTTTTATTTTTATATGCATGTGCAGGGAGCCTTAGTAGATGTAACGTTGTGATACGAATGCTTAAACAGAGACAAAGCTCGTAATAAATCTGGTCAAAGACGACTTTATCCCGACGCTGATGTCCCTCGATGCTAAAATGGGATGTCGACAGCCCACCATGATGACGCCTCCAGAGATCAACAAACCGACAAAGCAGGATCGACCACCTGTATATCGTACATTCGTTATGTTTATCTTATAGATTGCAAAATCACCAAATAATAAGATAGAATGTCTTTTGGGGATACTTGTTTTTAAGGGACGTGTTTCTTAATTGTATTTTTTATCGTGGTTGTCGACTTCTTGAAGGACTTTTTTTATTTTGAGATTTTTTATGTTTATTTTTAGTCTTATTACACGTCCTCCTTTTCCTCCTCTAACACTTCCTTCTTTCTTGCTTGCTTTTTTTCTTTTTTTTTTATTCTTTCCTTGTTTTTTTTTTTCTTTCTTTCCTTCTTTCTTTTTCTTTTTTTCACTTTTTTGTCTTTTCTTATTTAAAATTCTTCGACGGTTTCTTCTCCGGTACAAAAATCTTTATCTATTTCTATAAAGATATTTTTCTGTTACCTACCCCCTTTCATTGTCTTACGCTTTTCATTGCCTATCTTCTCTCTTACTTTACTTTTCCTTTTCTCTTTCTGTCACTATTTTCTTTCTCTTTCTCTCTTCTCTTTCTGCCTCTCCTTTTTATTTATTTCCCCTTTTTAATTCTCTCTCTTTCTATCGATTTTATCATATCAATTTTTGAAAGGAATCTTTCTTTTCTTTTCTTCTTATTTCTACTCTATATGTTTTTCTCTTTTTTTTTCTTCTGTTCTTTTTCTATTTTTCCTTAAGTTCTCTTTCTATTTCTGTCCCACCCTATCTGTCTCTCTTTTTGCCTTCACCCTCCTGTCTCTCTCACTCTCGCTTTCTTTCTTTCTTTCTTTCTTTCTTTCTTTCTTTCTCTGATTTGCTTTTCATTTTCATTGAGACAAATATGTTTTTATTTGCACAGTCTTTGATTATTCATCAATTCAACAACTGACTGAGTCGACAGCCATCTTGAGTTTTGAATTCTGTCGAAATACAAATAAAAGATTGGTATCTTGTTGTGACTCTCAACACTTGCAGACGTATGCGCGCTCCCACAAAATATTTTTACGCTGCTCTCTATACACGGGCCTTCAAAAATTGGGACATTGAACAGACATAAAGCAAAAACAATTCTTCATAATTGAAACCGAAATGTATTCTTTCCCCTCTTTCTTTCTTTGTTTCTTTTTTCCCTCCCTCTTTATCTCTCTCTCTCTCTCTCTCTCTCTCTCTCTCTCTCTCTCTCTCTCTCTTTAACGCTAACCCACACACAATAAGAATGAAATAAGCGGACAGGGAAAAAAACGACCAAAAAACTTGAAGTCATATACACACGTACACGCTATTATCAAAACACGTACACGCACACATTCATAAATTTTTATATAAAAATGATGGATATATGAAAGGGTGCTGAAAAGATTTCGACCTGACCCACATCCCTAAATCTGACTAAACAACCGATGTTTTTGAAGTGCTTCTTTGTCAAACTGAAGACTTTACCGTACCATTCGTATACGAAGACATTGTCTGTCAAATTTGGAAAACATAAGAAAATAAGTAACTCTGAAAAACATACAGATGATTAATACTGATTTAACAAACAAAAAGTGTAAATGAGTGCTTACCAAGTGTAACTGGGTGCTTAACAAAGAAAATGTAAATGGGCGCTTAACAAAGTGTAACTGCGCTTACCAAGTGTAAATAGGGGCTTAACAAAGAAAGTGTAATTAAGCGCTTACCAAATCTTAACTGCGTTTACCAAGGGTAACTGGGCGCTTAAAGAATAAATTTTAACTGGTCTCTTAACAAAGAAAACGTGTAACTGGGCTTACCAAGTGTGACTGCGCGCTTAACAAAGAAAGAGCTTATGTTATGAAATTTCCATTTTGACAATATTTAACAGGACAAATTATTAATGTTTGTCAATTCTAATACCTTAGTGGGAAAAAAACGCTTAACCTACCTAACGATGTAAATAAATGGCGGAATAAGGTTTAGAAGAGATAACAAAAAGACAAAATTTATTATGAGCTACAAAGGAAAGGATATTGTGGAGAGCGATGATCGCCAGTGTCCTGAGTGGACAAGGCACAAAGAAGAAGAAGAAATATGAATGAGTGGAGACGTTGTCAGATTTGAATATTTTTGAAAGCCCGACGTAAACTTAGATTTCTCGCTCCTTATGACATCACATGAAAATGTTTTCCACTTTTCAATGATATTCCTAATATTGTTCTGGTATATAAAAATTTATATAGGATTTTTTTTTTCACAAACATTCTTATGCAAACGCCACAACAAACTAGTTTTGCCTTCATCGCTATTGTCTTTTATCACAACTTCTTGTTTAAGCATGAGCCGAAAATAAAGGAATCTCTGGTGAGATTTGAACTCGTTTTCCCTATTCATGGATCGTATCTGACATACTTATAAATCCTTAAGAAACTTTTACTATCTACAGTCGGTGTATTTGTAAGACACCGAGTATTTGTGTTATAAGCTAATCTGAGATTTAGTCACGGAAAATAACTGGCATAGCTGAATTAAATACACCTTCATAACGTTATTTACATTATTCGGACTATTGTCCACATCTTTGTCGCCATATTTATCACAACGTTTCGGCCGTTGTATGCTCCAGCCTTCTTCGAACTGAACCCTTTATCTCGCTTACTGGGGTAGACTGTTCTAGTTCCACGTGCCATGTTTGATGGATGTCAGTTATCAGTTATCCTGCTAAAGTTCTCCACTGCCTTAACCGGGTATTGAACTCACACTCTTATCCACTGTTCCATGTGTCCTTCAGGACATCTGGGTATGAATTTCTGGATATTATAAACCTAATGTCTTCAGCAACCATTTTTACCAGTGCTCATATTGCAATTTTGCTGTTATCATTTTATGTTTTTACCAGAGCTCATATTGCAACTTTGTTATCATTGCTTTTCTGTGGCACTCCTTATTACTGGTTCCCATATTGTATTTATTTCTATGCTTGGTCGGCTCAGGAGATTTTTGTGGCTTAGCATATGTGCTGATTCCTTAAGTTTACGAATTTTCCAATGGTGTTCATAACGCTATAAAAAGATGAAAGAAAAACTCCTCCAATTTTTAGTAACATTAAAAGAAAATTGCCAATCGAGACTAAATCACCAATTGTTTGTTCGATAGTCTGACATATTTTAAATAGAATATAACTTGCGATTTACAATTTGTGCTGAAACTTTAACCAACATTCTTACTGGTGTAGATTAACATTCTTGCAAGATTTTATTTTCATTTTCAGGGAATTAATATCACCAGAGTTTGCAAAATTAAAGCCTGGTGAATTTAGTTGTGAAGAACAAGAATATTTGAACGTCATTTTAAAACTTATAAGACAGTCTCTCTCGCAATATTAAAAATAGATGCAATATAAAACCTTATTTACTATTTGTGTTGGTAGGATGTAAATATCCTCGTTTATCAACAGTAAAAATGCGTTACCGTAAAAAGGCTATCAAAAATGGCCTAGTTTCTGTGGTTATGCATTTGTAGCAAAGAGTAGAGTAATTAATAAATGTTGAAATAAATTGTTAATGATGACAAATAGAGCGTAAAAGAATTGAAACAGATTGGTCAAGACATATTAAAGACTAACAAATACGTTAAATATCACTAATTAGATTCATCAGTTAAATAGATATAATTAGTGATATATAACATTTGCTTCAATTGATTCTTTTCACAAGTGTTCTTCATTAGTGAAATGTATGAATGCAGATCCAGAACAGAAAAACCAAGAAATCGACATAGGTGTGACGAAGTGGAATGTACCAGCAAAATAATAACACTAGGCGTGCATCTTTCTTTAATTATTATTAGATTCTATTCAACTGTTTATTCTGTCAGTTATTCTCTGCAAGCGTGAGTGCGTAGCAGCGCCGTCGCTGCTGGTCCAATTCGTGGACCTTACATTCTACGTCTGAGATGTCTGAACGACTGTCCCAAATCTTCTCTTGGGACGGATGTTTATATAACCGCGTCTTTCTCATGAGTGAAAAACCAGATGTAAGTAACCAAGATTAAACCCTGAGTCAAACCCTAGTGAGCCAGACATATGTGATGGACTGGTATTATGAGGCACTCTATAAGAACCTAACTCATTATTTTCTAGTAATTTTTGATGACAATGATATGTTCAATTCAAAACAATATTATATAGACGTTTCTTCATTGATTTTGTTAATAATTTAGCTCTTGAAAATATATTTGAATTGAACACTGTTGAATAATAAGCTAATTCTATAAACAACAGACGCCTGCGTTAATCAAAACTGTTCAGTAAAATGAATAGAGCACTCCGGATGATTGGCATTTATTTACATTCGTAAAAACAATATGCTAGATTTAGCATATCACTCTGCCGAATGAAGATAGCTCAGTGGTAGAAACTCTGACTGACACCAAATCGGTTGGGGTTCGAGTCTAGTCGCACTGAGGAGCTGCGAAACAGTACTGTCCACAAATGTTTTACTGCTTTCAACTGAAAAAATGCCAAAAAAATAATTGAAACAAAAAGCAATAATAATAATAACTGTAAATAAATATACCAGCCGTATTCGGGAATTAAAAAAATGTCTACCTTTCAGCAACGTTCAGACTATTTACAAAAGCACTTACACTCCATTTAAAATCGGACAACAAAAATTCTTGAAAATGGCTAATAAGGATCGCTTGTTTAAACTATTTATACACTCACTGAATAAAAAAAAAAAGAAATCTCTTGTTCACATAAAAGGAAATGCAAAAAAAAAATTAACAGGATTATCTTACCCGTCATTTATAACGAAACATGTATTAGTGAGACCTAGCGACCCAAAATATACAACTATGCACACACACACACATACACATACACACACACACACACACACACACACATATATATATATATATATATATATATATATATATATATATATATATATAGAGGGAGAAAAGAAAGAGATAGATAGATAGATAGATAGAACGGCTGCAGCAGTGCTTCCAAGAAAGCGTTCATTAGATGATTACCGTAAGCTCAGGTATAGTTTCAGTGCCATATCACTATTACCATTAACCGAGAGTGCTCTAGCAGTATCTCGCAAAACCATCAGACTTCGTTGGTTTTCCGTCATGTCTTGGAAATACCAGGTACAGTAAATAGATATTTCGTCATTTTTATTACTGATTTCTTCAACAAAGTTTAATGTATTCTATTAAAGTATTAAAAATTGGCAAAGTACACGATTGCATCCAAATCTTATTTTACGGTTTTTCTCTTTCTATAGCGTGAGCGATCAAGGTTCTCCACAACTTCCCACCTTTTACTTTACTAAGTAACTTCTAATCCCTTACTATCATTCATTTTCCTTGTTCTGCTATTCACTCATACTAAATAATGTTTCTCTTTGACTTTCTTGCCTTCAATATGTCCAGTTAGTGTTTAATTCTCTAGGCCCTTTTTCTCTTTATGTATACCAGAATTTGTCTCTTTCTGATTGTCATTATGTGTCCTTTTACTTTGTCCACGCTGCTCGTATGTTCAATGCTTGCTATTCTCAACACCCGTCGGTGGATATACATCCCGACTGCTTCAAGTTTTCAATTGTCCAGCATTAACTGCCATAATGGAGGTTACATACTACATAGCAGTTAAATAATTTTCTTCGTTTCTAACAAAAATTTCCTATCTCTTTATATTTTGCTTAGTTTATAGAAACACCTTTCGCTATTCCTATGCGTTTTCAGATTTTTGTACTACTTTTTCTTTCGTCTGTACTATCCAAAGAGTTAAATTTATATACTTGCTTGATTTTACCGTCCCTAATACGTAACTTACATTTTAGACTGTCTCTTTTGTTAACGACTATGTAATCTGTCTTCTTATAGGTGATCGCTTCCACATTCGGCGCATAGATAAGGTTT